GAGGAAAGCTTTCAGTCTTCCACCATTGAGTGTGGTGATAGCTGTGGGTTTTTTTACATTTACTCTTTTGTGGTGAGGAAGTTTCCTTCTATTCCAAGTTGCTTGTGTGTCTTTATCAGGGAAGCATGTTAAGTTTTGTCAAATGCATCTTCTTCATCAATTAAGTTGATGATACATTCTGTTAATGTGGTATGTTGAATTGATTGCTTTTTATATGTTAAACCATCATCATACTCCAGAAATAAGTCCCACATAGTCATGGTATATAATTCTTTTAATAGGCTATGGAATTGTGTCATGAGATAGTGAATCAATATTCACAAAGGATATAAGTCTGTCATTTTCTTTTTATGTCTTTTTGTGACTTTGGTTCTAGGCATTGCTGCATCAAACAATGAGCTAGGATGTGTTCTTTCTTTTTACATGTTTGGAAGAGTTTGAGAAAAATTGGCGTCAACTCTTCTTGAAGTGAAATCATCTGGTTTAGGACTTTTCTTTCTTGGAAGGTTGGTGAGGAGTGATTTGATCCTGTTACTAACTATCAGTCTATCCAGATTTTATATTTCTTTATGATTCAGTCTCAGTGTGTTGTGTGTCTCTAGGAATTTTCCCATTTCCTCTAGGTTATCCAATTTTTCACTGTGTAGTCATTCATGGTAGTGTCTCATAATCTTTATATAGAGTGGGCAAAAGTAGGTTTGCAGTTACTTTTATGGAAAAATAATTAATAAATACAAGAATAAACTGTTTTACATTAACTTAAGTTTCACAACTGTAAATTTACTTTTGCCCACTCTGTATCTGTATAAAATAAGCAGTAATGGTCACACTTTATTTCTGATTTTATTAATTTGTGTCTTCTCTTTTTTCTTAGTCAATGTAGTAAAGGTTTGTTAACTTTGTGATCTTCTCCAAGTACTAACTTTTAGTTTCATTGATTTTCTCCAAAGTTTTTTTTATTCTCTGTTTTATTTATTTACTTTTACTCTAATCTTTACTATGTTTTTGTTAACTGGTGGTCATTGGCACCAATTAAAGGCCAACAAAAATCCCCAATTTGGGATGTAGTGAAGAAGGAAACTTTATTCAGTGCAAATCAGCCCAACTGTAATACAGCCAAGCTGTGAAAACAGCACAGCTGTGAGGCAGCCTTCAGGCGAGGCAGCCCTAGGGCCAGGCCCCTCCGGGCCAGACAGCTCTGCTCTGCTTCACGCTGATCTGCTTTGAGCTGCACTGGTTTGCTCTGCTGTGCTTTTGTCTGCTCTACTCTGTGACAGTCTGTTCTGGCCTGCACTGCTCTGCTCCACTCTGTCCCAGAAAGACATCTTCGGTGTTTTAGTTCAGCCAGGAAGATGCAGTCGTCAGTCTCCAGAGGAAAGTGTGCCCTTAGAGCCAGAGGGGAGCTGGCTTACATGGACAGAAGTCCTCGCCCCTGGTCTCTGATTGGACTGTCCTCATGGAAATGAGAACTCCAAATCCTTGCAGTTTGATTGGTCCAAAACGCACTGGCCTAATTGGTTGAACTTGTGCAGCTCTGATTGGGTGAGGAAAGCCTCAGTCCTATTGGTTGAAATAGGATTCCAGTTACTCCTTTAGAAGGGCTGACTCAGATGGCAGAACCACCATGCAAGTGGGCAGTTCAGTGCACAGGCAGGTAGTTCAATGCTGCCTTCTCCCTGAAGTGCAGTTTGTATGAGATCCTCTGTGTAGAAATGGCCACTAGGTTCTGTTTTTTTAATCATTTGAGCTCAGGTAGCCATCTGGAGCCCTTCTTAGTAAGTCTCTCCTTTCTCAGGGTTCATACCTTCTTTCTGCTAGCTTTGGGTTTAGATGGAAGAGGGAAAACGAAACATCAATATAAGACCAAAACATCAATATAAGACTAAAATATCAATCAGCTGCTCTCTATATGTCCTCCACTGGAGATCAAGCCCAAAACCCAGGCATGTGCCCTGACTGGGAATCAAACCAACAACCTTTTGGTGAACAGATGACATCCAACCAGCTGAATCACACTGGCAATAGTGAGATTTTCCTTTTTTAATGTTAGCATTTATAGCTCTACATTTTTCTCTTAGTAACGCTTTCAATGCATCCCATCACTTTTGGTATGTTGTTTCGTTATGTTGTGTTAGGTTTTCCTAATTTCTTCCTTGATCCATTGTTGTTAAAAAAGTGTTGTTTAATTTCTGCATATTTGTACATTTTCCACTTTTTCTTAAGTTATGACTTTCAACTTAATTCCAATGAGGTCACGAAGATATTTTGCATATACTTTAAAATTATTAGACTTGATTTGCAGCATATTATATCGTCTATCCTGGGAATACTTTATGTACACCGGTGAAGGATGTATATTCTGTTGTTGTTGGGTCAAGTATTCTGTATATGTCATTAGGTCCAATTAGTTTATAGTGTTGTCCTCTGCTTTCTTATTGATCTTCTGTCTGGTTGGTATACCCAACAATAAAAGTGGGGTGTAGAAGACTCTAACTCATATTGTTCAGCTGTCTATTTCTCCTTTCAAATCTGTTACTGTTTACTTCTTTACTTTGAAATCCTGATGTTTGGTGTATGTGTGTATAATTTTATATCTTCACGGTGAATTGACTATTTTATCAATATATAATGTATCCTGTTTTGCAATTTTTCATTTTTCAATTACATTATAGTCATAATTATTTTGCATTTGTTTCAGGTGTACAGCATAGTGGTTAGACAGTTATATACTTTATAAGTGGTTCCACCAATATTTCAAGTACCCAGCTGGCACCATATATAGTTATTATAATATTATTGACTTCCTTATGTTATAATTAACATCCCTATGAGTATTCTGAAAGTATTTGTTCTTGTACCAGTTAGTGACTTAAAGTCTACTTTGTCTAATGATAGTATAGCCATCCAGATCTTTTGGGCACTATTTGCATAGACTTTTTTCTTTCTTTCTTTTTTTGTCCTTTTACTCTCAACTTATTTATGTTGTTAAATCTACGTAAATCTCACTGAAATCATGTTGGTGTTTTTTACATTTATTTTGCCACTATATGTTTGTTTAATGAGGTATTAAATTCATTTGTATTTAAAGTGAATACTAATAGGGAGTGACTTACTTTTGTCATTTTGTTGTTTTATGTATGTCTTGTTTCCACCATTACTGCTTTCCATTGTGTAGAGTATTTTTTATATTTACACGTTTTGATACTTCTCTTGTTTCCTTTCATCTGTATGCAAGAGATACTTTCTTATTGGTGGTCTATAGAAGTACAACTGACTTTTAAATATTGAATTTGCATTCAACAAAATTGCTAAATTTTCTTAATTATAATATTTATTTATAAATTATATTAGAATCTTTACTTATACAATTATGACTAGTTGCAGATAGTGGGGGCTTGTTTTCTTCCCAATCCTATGCTATTTTTCCTTGCATATTGCAAAGGCTAGAACCTCTATTCCACATTGAATAGCAGTGGCAATTGCAGACATTTTCTTTATCTCAATCTCAACCTTTTATTATTTATTTTCACCTTTTTTTTCTGTAAATGCCTTTAATTCACTTAATGGCAAAAGATATTTTCACTGTGTATAGAATTTGAAGTTTTCAATTATTTTTAATTAGCAGATTAATATATTGTTTCACTATCATCTAGCTTTTGAGAAATCAGCTGTCAGTATGACATTGTTTACAGATAATCTTTCTCTATGCCTGCTTTCTAATTTTTCTCTCTGTTTTACATAAGCTTCAATATGAAGTACTTAGATATGGATCTTTAAATTTTTACTCTTAGAAGTTATTGGCATTCTTGAATTTATCAATATCTTAAGTTGGTTCTGGATTATTTATTAGTTTTTCAGATATTTCTCTTGTTCTCCTCTTTCTGTCCATCTGCAATTCTGATTATCCAGATGTGATATTTCCAGTTTATCATCCTTATCTCTCAATATTGCTTTATAATTCCCTACTTTTTACTTTTGTGCTGCTTTCTAGGAACATATGACCTATCTTCAGCAGGTTAATTTCTTCCATTATGATTAGACTGCTGTTGAACCCATCCATAGAAATTGTAGCATGACTCTTTTTTCACTTTCTAGGTGTTTAGATATATATTTATAAAAGGTCTATATTACCTTATACTTTCCTTTTTCATAAAGATGGTTTTAAGCTTTTAAATTTTATTTTAAAATAAAAAATACTATCATTTTTTCATGTATCTACTAATCCCAATACCTGAAGTTATTACAGATGTTTCTGGTAAGTATTGTTTCTACTAATGGCATTAATGGTATTTTTTTTTCTTGTTTTCTGAGTTATCTTTGCATGTAGCTCATATACTTTAAAAATTATATGAGAGAATAATTTTATACCTAAAGTAAAGAAGGGGTTTAGTTTATTTCTGTCAAGAGTCTAGAGCCATACATAGTCTGGGATCACTGTAAATTAATGAATAAAGTTCCAGTGAAAAGGTATGAATTTCAGTTATTTAAAATAACTTTATTTTAAATTTTGAACTAATTTTAATAAACTAATAATACCTTTTCTCTGGCTATCTAGTCTATGTGCATCTGAAGACAAATCCACACACAGTTTGGTTAATTGATAAAGCAACACTCATTGGATTCTCCTGTGTGTGGGAGTGAGGAAAGGCTTTGCTTCTGGTTCAGCCTTACTAGGAGACAAGATCTATACATGACTGTGCAACTTCTGTAGGGCAAGAACATCCACTGTGGCCAAGCCCCTTGGAATTCCTCATTAATGAGAAGAGACTCTCATATTCTAATATTCCTCCACATTTAGTATTAAAACTGAATTGGGGAACGCATTATTTCAACTTATGACAATAGATCCACTGGCCATAATTTTTTAGTCTTTAAAAGAGAAAATTCTTGATAGGACTCTTAGAGGCATGGCCTGGAGAACTGAAGGTCTTCTATCTCATTCAAAAATGCTCAGTGGGACAGATGACTTGGGTCTTTATTAAGGCAATTTTTGTAATCAGGTGAAGTCAAGAATTGGCTATTGTCCTCAAACTGATGCCTTGCTGGAATACATGACTGGTCGGGAAATAATGATCATGTATGCCAGAGTATGGGGAGTCTCTGAGCCCCAAATTCAGCTGCACGTGAGAAAATGGTTGGGTTCACTGCAACTGGAGCCCTATGCTGACAGGATTATCAGTACTTACAGGTGAGTCATTATGTTGATCTTTTTGTTGATGCTGCTAATGTTGTGGTGCTTCCCCATGTTCCTGATGTTTGAAATAAATGCCCACAGCACCACCTAGTTCCTTCTAGCACACAATAATTTAATTATGGAGTTATCTGGGTTGCTAAGTTAAAGTGCAGTAATAAGACAGAGCAATGTGGTTCCATGTCTTTTCTTTACAGAAATAAAACTCAAAATGCTAGTTATGTTTGAACTGTAGCTTCTGAATCTCAAAGGGGAGCATCTTATTCTTCCTAGTGTCCATATGGTTCTTTGTTTTCCAAGAAAAAGGATATAAATTATGGTGGTATTTATGTACCTGTAAAATCATGATACCCTAAGAACTAGTAAATAAATGTCACTGATAACACTGCTAAAATCAGTTACATAAAAGTTACTCCTCTACATTTCAAATGAAAAAAATAATTGATATAAACACCTGTACTTGAACCTGATACCTTGTTGAAGCCACATCTAACCAACATTGTGGATATCTATGTTAAGTGTTTGCTGAGACTCTTAACATTTTAGATGTTTGTACTAACACTGTCCCAGAAGCAACTGATTTGTATATCTTTCCCTTACCCTGCATTCTCTCTCCTTCTACGACCATGAAGTGGAGGAAGCAAACGTCGTCTGTGTACTGCTATTGCTCTAATGGGAAAACCCGCAGTAATTTTGATGGACGAGCCATCAACTGGCATGGACCCAGTTGCCCGACGCCTGCTCTGGGATGCTGTGATACAAGCTCGTGAAAGTGGCAAAGCCATTATTATAACCTCCCACAGGTGTGACTCATTAACAGGCTTGGAAGAGGGTTGGCAAGGGACTTACTGGGGGCTAGTAAGTGGTTGTTCTAGTGATTGAACAAGAGACTTACTGGGGGCTAGGAATATTGGACAGCAAACTTGCTTGAGAGTGTGAGTTCCTTATTAATCCTAATGTGTGGAACAGCCAAGAATCCATTAAGTTAAGAAACCAAGAGTGGGGAGAGGGCAAGGAGTTAGATGTTCTCTGTGAGGGTTCCATACTCTACTCATCATTTGAAACATTTCCATTTCTCAACTATGAGCTTTATGATTGGCAAATTCCACTTCCCTTTGAAAGTAGAATCACCAAATCCTGAATTATAGAAAGTTGTCCAACAGAGAACTTTTCAACTTTGCTTTGTTGTGGCATCGTGTTTGCTAGAGTGGAGGAATGTGACATCTTCTGCACCAAGCTGGCCATCATGGTGAAGGGGAAGTTTGTGTGTCTGGGCAGCCCTCAGCACCTCAAGAACAAGTTTGGCAAGTTTTATATCCTGAAGATCAAGATCAATACTGATACACACAAGCAAACATTAGATGATTTAAAAAATTTTATCATGATGACATTTCCAGGTAAATTAGATTGAGCTAACTTTGTTCAAGATGTATTAAACCATATTTGTTGTTCTTAGTAGGTGTATGTTTTATGTCTCCAATAACTGATTCCTATGGATTATTAATATTTATTGACTTCCACACTGAGTTCCTGTTGGGATCCTTGTTTCTATAACTTCTTGTGCCTGGTTATGCTAAGAAATTTTGCATGCACACAAAAAAGATTCACACTAAGCTCCAGTATTACTTTGATAAGACAGATCTGGATTTCTTCTGTCCATGTAAATTATATTTCTAAAATCATAATTATCATAATTCTCAATTATTTTGACATAAGATCCGTGCAGAGTTTTAAGGTGTTTCCCCTCCAGCTGAGCATGTAACGCTGGTCTTTCAGTCTCAGCCAGGACATAGTATTACAGTACAAAGAAGAACCAGTAAGTGTTTCTCTCCTTCAAGAGCAGATCTGCTCTTGTATGCTAAAGTCAGTAAGCTTTTCTCTGCCCACACGGTGCAATCCAGGGACAGAAACTCTCTGTCCTTCACGGTCTTTCCTAAACATGAAGCAGGAGCATGGCAAGGCTTCTAATAATTCTGGTTTTTTATCTTAGTTTCTGCTTTGCTGGTGGTGAAAAATACCACAGAAGTTCCCATTGTATGTCAGCCTGAGGAGTTAGAAGTTTATCTCTTGATGAGGGAGAACAGTCTGATCAATTACACAGTAAGAATGGTGATCAGAACATTGATAAGAAATGGATGGCAGAGCATACGTGGGGAACAGATGTATGGGAAACAGTTCCTCTGCTGCTCATAGGTAGTATAATACATCTCTGACACTCACAAGGGGGGATGTCCATTAAATCCATGCACTTATGTATTCATTCAACAAATATTTTTGAATACTCATTATATCAGAGTTCTAGTTCACGTCGCCCCTAAATTACCACAAAGAGAAGCTGTGACCAGAAAACCTCTTTTACTCTTCTAACAACTTGCTCTTCCTGAAGGAGAAACACTAAACACTGACCCAAGACCTGTCCTCGACAACGTGGACACAAGGATGTGTTCTTTAATGGGAATGTGGGCTAGAGGCACAGTCTCAGCTTTAAGGTGGTTGCTGCCAAGTCCTTTCTCGAATAAAAAAGGAACTGATATGGAACCTATACCTAAATATTGATTTATAAAGAGAATAAATATTACAAACAAAAGTCATCTAGAATATATATTTGAAAAAGGACTTACCAAAGTAATGAGGATATTTAGGGCAAATGATTCTACATAATCTCAAGGAAAATTAAGTAACCATGTATTTTTTTTTTTATCATCCTCACCTGAGGATATTTTTCCATTTATCTTTATATAGACTGGGAGGGGTGGGAGAGAGAGAGACAGACAGACAGAGAAACATCGATGTGAGAGAGACACATCAATTGGTTGCCTCCCGCAGGACCCCGACAAGGGCCTGGAACTAAACCACAACCGAGGTACATGCCCTTGACCAGAATTGAACCTGCAACTCTTTGGTCTATAGGCTGATGCTCTAACTGTGGAGTCATACAGGGCAGGGCAGCAACCATGTATTGTTTTGAATGCACAAATAAATGACTTTGTTTCTGCCATACGGAAGGTTATATACTCTGAAAAGCCTTCCTGGTAAAATAAAACAAGGACTCGGTAGAAATTAAATGACTACATCTTAATGTGAAAATTGGCTCAGAAACAAAAGTCAGAAACTCTTTTTAACAACCAAAAAAGAAAGCAGGGGTTGGGGGAAGAAAAATGAAGGGGAAAGAGGAAGAAAATGCAAATCCTGGAAGCAAGTGCCACAGTCAGCACTGGGATGAGCGGTGCTCTGGGCTCCAGGTTGGGGAACCCTGCTGAGACTGCCATGGGAAGGGGCCCTAATGGTGGTCAGCAGCACCCTCTAATTCCACGCAGGAGCTCACAGACACCTTCTGTCGAGGAAAGCATCCCTAATTTAAGTTTGAAGTGAGGAGAGAAACACAAGAGACAGAGAGCAGCAAGTACCAGAGAAAGGTCTACACTGAGAAGCCATATTTTTTAGTACATCCCAGAATACTCTGAAGAAGAAACAGAATCCTAAAGCTAAGAAAGTTTTTCTGGGGTCCAAGATGGGATATTCTGACCAGCTATGTATGTAGCAAATTCTGCTGGAAAAGACTGAAAACCTTTCTCCACAACAAGGGATAAAAGGGCCACATCAAGATGGTAGGAGAGGCAGAGACACAGGCTCAGCACAAACCCCACCGCTGGTGTGGCAATTCCACAACAAGGTGGGGTCTCACCGCTTCCGAGTTTCTCTCCCGGGAACGAGAGGTTTGAGCCCCACATCAAGTACCCCAAACCTGGGAACCTGCACTGAAGAGATGAGACCCTCCAAAACATTTTACTTTGAAAACCAGTTAAGGTTTATGCCTAGGGGTTGGAGGGTTGCGGGCTGTGGGGTCTGAGATATTCCTTTTGAGGAAATGACATGTCCCAGAACCTGGTGCAAAGGCTGCAGCAGTTTGAGAGGTACCTGGAATATGTGGGAAGATTTAATTGTTAATCTTAAAAACATCTACTGGAGGGTCAGGGACCAGGAGGGATTTTCCTGGGTAATGGAGGTGCTGGAGGTGCCGTTTTGTCCTCTCCCCTTCCCTCACTAGCCCAGCAGGGCCACGTCCCTCCGCTGGCTGAGCTCTGCCTGGGCCACTAGAGCGGCGGGCAGGCCCTGCCCACCACTCTCCCACAGCCTCTCTAAGGCCCCAAACGAGTGCAGTCCACACAGAATACTTTCCTTGATCATGCTGCCCTGGTGACCAGAGGAGCTTGTGTTCCTGAGTCCCTAGCACTGTGACAATCAGAAAGGGAGTTCTGGGCAGGTGACCACACCAGAGCCCTGCACAGACAGCAGACTGAAATACATCCCCAGTCTGCCTAGGGAAGAGACTCCTTTAGTTATCCTAGATCCAACCCGAGGATAGGCTTCAGGTTGGCCATACATCTAGAGGCTACAGAGGTGCTTAGGGAATGAGGCAGGGAGACACCATCTTGGCGCCCTCCCCTCGCCTCTCCACAGCTCACTGGTTTCTCCCAGAAAGGAACTTTTACACACATCTGTAGCGCCGGGGTTTTTGCAGCTATTGTCCAGGAGTCACTTCCAGATCTCCTGGTCTGGAGGTCAGCAGGGTGTCAGTTGCAGCCCCACCAAACTGTATTTGCAGACTTTGAAAGCTGCTGCCTGGGGTCTGGCTTTCGATCAGCCTGCAACTAGGTGCTGGCTGGGATCACTCCCTGGAACACTGACTGGAGTTGGCACACACTCAGCAACTGAGACCTATCAAAGTAAACCAGGCTCCTTAGATCATCACAAAGGTTTAAGAAACAGTCAAGATGCCCTGGCCGGTTTGGCTCAGCGGTTAGAGCGTCGGCCTGCGGTCCTGAGAGACCCGGGTTCGGTTCCTGCTAAGGGCATGTACCTCGGTTGCAGTTTGTCCCCGGCCCTGGTCGGTTGTGCGGGTGGCAGCCACTCGATGTGTTCCTTTCACATCGATGTTTCTCTCTCTCTCTCTCTGTTCCTCTCTCTCCCTCCCACTCTACCTGAACAAAAAATGGAAAAATGTCCTCAGGTGAGGATAAAATAAAATAAAATAAAATAAAATAAAAGAAACAGTCAAGAGCTAGGGCAAGGTTGAGTGATAAGATGTGTCTTCTACACAAGGCCACTCCTTCAGGAATGAAAGACGTCAGCTCTTTTGCCTAAAACATGGAAACATGCAAAGAGTGTATCAAGCAAAATGTGGAAAAAAATGAATATATTCCAAACAAAAGCAGACAAAGCAAACTCAGGAAAAGGCCTCAGTGAAGCAGAGGTCAATGTTCTTACAGTTTCAGTAGCTGAATGGAACATAAATTGTGGAATATTTAGATGCCAGATTATAGTTTAGAAAGGAAAATAAATGAATTATAGTTAGATGCAACCACTTGAGTGAATCTTACAAACATTGAGAGAAAGCAAAAAGAAAAGAATATATGCTAGATGATTCCATTCACATAAGTAGGAAAACTCTGCCTAAATTTTTAGGGGCAGGTGCTTAGGTAAAAAGACATTAAAAAAGAAATGTCCATAATATCATGAAGGTATTAGTTATGTTGTATGGGGGACAGAGGCTGGGAAGTGACCCATGGGACTGTCTGAGTTACTAATATTACTTGACCTAAATGGGGTAGTTTTATCAGTGTTTGTTTTGAGTAACTCACTAAGCTATCTGAAATATTTCACACGCAAAAAAAGAAGAGCTTTATGTGATCATGGAGACAATACATGCATTAAAACTCATATTAAGAAAATCCACACATTATAAATATCTATTATTTTACTTTAACACATTTTTATTACAGTTAATTCAATTTGTGATAACCTGCAAATATGCAGTAAGTGTAAACACCTCAGTTTGTTCTAAATTAGAAATGATTCTTACTCACCTGTAATAGAAACAATAACACACCCTGACTTGCTGTATATGTATGATCGCATCTTTCACATGGTGTGTGAGCACAGCAAGCAGGCCTGGTCCTGCTGTCCTCCCTGGCAGACACACTGTACAAACACTCTACCTCCTCACACCAGCAGCCTGAACATCCTCCCAGCTCAGATTCTCGGCCCCGTGTTCAGAAATAAAGTCTTAGAATTTTTGAAGGCTGGGTTTCATTCATTGGGCATGTGAGCAACATTTTGTGTGTGCGCCTGCAAGCCAGACCTCAGTCATTATGAACTTCACATAATAAGGCTGTTTCGTCAGGAATAAATCTGCTGAAAGGAATTAGCCATGTCGTATAAACCAAAGAGAATGAGTTATTTGATCACATCCCCTTTTGTCATAATGGTGTCTATTCATAGTTCTATTACGTATAACTAAATAGATGTAGCAAATTTTGGCAATTTTAAATTAAATCTGTAAGAGTATTCACCTATCCTATGTGCGATATGTTTACCTTTTTTAGGTAGTACATTAAAGCAGGAGAGCAAAGAGATCCTGAACTATTACATCCCCAGCACGGACAATAGCTGGGCAAAGGTGACTGTGGAAACCACGCCCTTCTAACATCACATGCTAAGACAGCACTAAGGAGGGGGTGGAATATTGGCTCTTCAGGAATGTGTAATGAAGAGCCTGATGTAGGAGCAGAGACTTTAGGTTCCTGTTCAGACACCCTAGATTACTAGTCCATGTCCATCAAGAGAATGAGGACAGAGAACTCCTTCTAAAGGTTTCTCAATGATCTATTTCACCTTTTTCTTCATCTCTCCTCTGTGCCTTTTCCCCTCGAACATTAACTCTGCAGCAGTTGGAAGTGGAGGAGAGGCTCCTGGGGTTGGGGCTGGAGGGGAGGATTGCAATGGTGACTGCACTTTCCTTTCATTGCAGGTGTTTGGCATTTTGGAGGATGCTAAAGAGCAATTCAGTTTAGAAGATTATTATGTCAGTCAGATAACACTGGAACAAGTCTTCCTGACCTTTGCTATCCCAGAGAACAAAGGACTTAATGACTACAATAATGTGCCATGAGATTCAGTTCCAACCTGTGACTATGTCTTCTCAGGTTGACCTCTGCTATACCTGGATACATAGAGGGGCATTCCTGTGTGTGTATCTTGGTGCCAATAATAATAAAAAAAACTCTTCATGTAACCATACATCCCTTCTTTGTAGATTTACATGGGTGGGTTGTGTATCCAGCATGTGCAAATCTAAAGACATGTGGTGAAATTCATGTTTTCTCTCCTAGAAATATGAAAGACCAGCATTTATCAGGGTGGGAATAAGAACCTATATCTGAGAATACTGAGTGTTTGAACAGAAACATCCAGAAATGATGGAGCTGTTAGATGGGACAACTTGAAGAGTATGAGATTTATTTTTAGGTTGAGTTATAGATAAAAGCAGCTTTAAGCCCTTCCCAGAGATACACACACATACACACACACACACACACACCCTAATTTTATATCCAAAATAATCTAATTAAAATAAATATCAATGTTTATGGGGTAAATTGGGTTATTTCCAAAACTTAAACCAAGATTTTACATTTGTGAGATGACGTTTGCACCAAGTACATTTAGAGTTCAAGAACATAAAGCAAAAACATTCTTTGAAAATATGTTTTCCTCCCTACTCTTGCCCACCTCTAACTAAGAAGGAAAGAAGGAAAAATGAGGTTGTTAGGCAGGATAGCTAGATATTAAGGCAAGAGAGGGGGGTTATTTTACCCAAGTAGTCCTGAGACCTGCCAAGACAAGATTATCAACAGTTAAATCACAATGACAAAGTGGAACTTGAAACCTGTATGCTCATCCTGATACCAAAATATATATAATCCTTACAACCCCAATAGGTGGGGTGCTCAGATTAGCTAAATTGCTAATAACCCAATTTTTTAGAGAGAGAGGAAGGGAGAGATAGAAACAGCGATGTGAGAGAGATACATTGATTGGCTGCCTCAGGTACAACCTCTACCAGGGCCAGGTACAGAACCACAACCAAGGTATGTGCCCTTGACTGGAATCAAACCTGAGACTCTGGTCCCACAGCCAGTGCTCTAACCACTGAGCATAACAGGCAGGGCAACAAAGGCAATTTTAGAAGCATGCCCTGAGGTCTGAGTGATGTGGGAGATGCCTACCTGTCCAGAACACCTGGGAGCCAGTCAGTGGCCAGAATAGGCATGGCCACTGCCAGCCAGGGAAACCTGAATATTTAATCTCCTAGACAAAGGAAAGATTGCTTCTGCTGTCTCTCTTGCTGCCTGTGCCAGATTGCTTTTTGGAGCTCCCGCGCTCTGAATTCCTCCACGTGGCCCACAGCCATGTGGGACCCAAACAATAGATTAATGGACAGAATCTAGCCTGATGCCTGATCTAAACACAGCTGCATCACGGAACGGACACTCTGGACGTTGGCTTCATTTCTAGCCTTGCTGAATCCACAAATACCTCTCTTTGGGGACTGGACTGAGGGACATGGGACTTTACAACCCCAGAAGTGTTAATTCCACGCCAATAAAAACCATCAATTGTCCAGTGTGAGTGTTAAAAAATTCATTTTCTAAAGATGTCAAAAGAACCTCCTGCCCATGAGTGTCAGAGGCATCTGGCCCCCTCTTCAGTCCAGCAACAATGTCAGTAATTGCAAAATTTGTTTCCCAGGCTAGCTATGTTTCAAAAGAGAGAGAGAGAAGCTATTTTACTAAGCTCTTGCATCTACTCTCCCAGTTGGCTTCATCAACGACCCTTTAAGAACTTCCTTTACTCTGGTAGTCTCTTCCACTGTCCCTACCTACCCCCAACTCACCTCTTCATCTTGCAGCAAGAAACAAAAAATACTATGCGTCAGGTCCTCTACTAAAAGCACTTTAACGATAACGGGTTAGCTACAAGGTAGTAAAGAGAACGCTAAAGAATAGCCTAAATCTGAGGGAGATTACACCAGGAAGAAACGAATTTGAAGAGAAAGTGTACTTTGGGCTCATTTGATGGTGGGGACTTTGACTGGCCTAGGCCAGGCCTGTTTCGCTCCTGCCAGCCAGCAGCCCTCAGGGCACAGACTGCCTAGGCTGGACCCCTGGGAGCTGTGACCTGGACTGGCAAACAGAAAACACTTTTCTGGGATGGCAGGCTGGTGGCAGGCAAGGACACCTGCGTGAATCACTGGGAAGCCACACTTAATGAGGACGGGTGTGTGTGAGCGTGTGGGGGTGGGGGTGCCCTGAACTGTCCCCACACGTGCTGCAAGAATCTAAGAGAAAACACCTGAAGCCACAGTGGAAGCCCGTGTCCCTCCAGCGCCCTCTTCCGACGAAGTCTGACCTGTGGGCTGGAGAGCCCAGCTCCTGGCGCTAGGAGGCAGTCACTTGGTACCCAGACAGCTGGGTCAGAATTCAGACCCTGTGATTCCAACCGTGAGGCTGCACGGAGGTGGTGTTGGGCTGGGGTCGGGCAAGAGGAGCATCCGCAGATTTGGGGGGGGCAGGAGGAAGGTTTGCAGGTGGGTCACCGGAGTGGCTGGCGGATCGGGACAGTGCGCGCAACGCAGGTGGGGCTTCCCAGAGGATAGCGCTCAGGGCAGAGGCCGCGCCCAGGGATGGAGGAGGGGGAGGGGGAGGGGGAGGGGGAGGGCGGGGAGCGGCGCGCGGGCGGGATGACGGTTGCGCGTTATGCCGCGTTGGCCCCAGGACGGGGCTCACGGGTGGCCCAGCGGGAGGGGGTTTGCCTACTTTGCACCTGCGCCCTTGTTAATTCTGCTAACACGACAGACCTCAAAGGGTGGCCTCTGAAAGTCCTTAAACGGCCTGATCCCTGTGACTGGGCCTGCAGAGGGGACCAGGATGCGTGAGGGAGAGGGGAGCCGCGAGAGGTGGGGATGGGGTGGGGGTGCCACGGTCTGCGGGGTCGCGGTGCTGATTCCAGGGCGCCAGGGTCACGGAGCGCAGCGGGTGTGTGCTGGGAGGGGGCGGGTGCCGGGAGGGGCCGGACCGAGCGGAGGGGGCGCGTGCAGGGAGGGGCGGGGCGGAGGGGTCGCGTGCAGGGAGGGGCGGGGCGGGGCGGAGGGGTCGCGTGCAGGGAGGGGCGGGGCGGGGCGGAGGGGTCGCGTGCAGGGAGGGGCGGGGCGGAGGGGTCGCGTGCAGGGAGGGGCGGGGCGGGGCGGAGGGGTCGCGTGCAGGGAGGGGCGGGGCGGGGCGGAGGGGGCGCGTGCAGGGAGGGGCGGGGCGGGGCGGAGGGGGCGCGTGCAGGGAGGGGCGGGGCGGGGCGGGGCGGAGGGGCGCGTGCAGGGAGGGGCGGGGCGGGGCGGAGGGGGCGCGTGCAGGGAGGGGCGGGGCGGGGCGGAGGGGGTGCGTGCAGGCGGGGCGGGGCGGAGGGGGCGGAGGGGGCGTGTGCGGAGAGAGAGCGCGTGGAGTCCGGTTTGCGGGAGGAAACGCTGGCGCGGCCCTCGGAGCGGTTGGGGACGGCTTTGGGAGGAAGCGCGCGCTCCTCAAGGGCGGAGGTGGTTGCGAAGTTTAAGTGGTGAGTGTCCGGACCTCTCACCCTTGGCCCTCTGGCCAAGTGCCCTTCTGGTGCCGCTGCTCCTTGGTTCCCTGGATGCCGCCCCCGTGTCCGCCCTCAGAGCCAAGAGCCAAGTGCGTGCCCCCCTCCTCCTGCCACCTAAAACAGGCACAGGAACCTCCACAACCCTCTCTCCCGGCGAATCACCACCCCCCCATTTGTACTGCTGCCCTGACACCAGGCTGTGTAACGCCGCTGACGTGCGGCGGTGGGTTAGGGTTTTACTGGAGAAGAGTCAGGCCGCTGGCACCCTAGGGCCCCGCAGACTCTCCACGAGGCTGAAGGCCAACAGCCAGTGAAGTTTCCTCCTTCCTCATCAAGGGTCATCCCAAATCTGTTGTTTTCCCTGAGAAGAGGCAGACTAAAGAATTGCTGTCTTCTTCCTCTTTGTGATATTGTAATCATCTCCGAAGCAAAGATTGAAAGGGGAGTGGGACACAGGATAAAAGGAAATAGTTTAATTCATTGTTAAAACTTTTTTTGTAGTTTCCGAACTCATCCGAAGATGTATTTGTCAGAACTTTGCTTCAGTGGTGTTTGCTATTTTAAACTTTGAGCCTTTGAATGAGGAATAAGGTCCTGTATTTTTTATTTTGCAGATATATACTAAGTGCTCAATGCGAACTACAGTGAGATTAAATATTGTACAGAATTTAACTGTTATTTTGAAAGAAACCAAATAAAATAGCAACTGGTAAATGAAATGATGTAAGCACTTCACTGCCTCCTCCAATTAAAAATTCATGGAAAGTCACTTAATTTTAGAAGTCACTGACAATGGTGACTTTTTGTTAATTGGTTTATTTCCTTTTTACCATTGTCCCATGTACAGAACCCCCTACCATGCCCTTCTTGGTTAAGATTAGTCTTAAATTAATCTACATCATCAGAAATGCTTGCCTAGATCTAAAATATTCAGAACCATATACTGGACACTGTAGACATGAAGCTGAACAAAGATACTCTACCAACACAAGAGTAATTTACATTCTGTGGTAGGAGTCCATTTTCTCTTATAATATGACTAAGAGCCACTAAATTAAGAGAAAATAAGAGAAACCCATAAGCAGAGTAGTCACTAGAGAATTTTCTCTTATGGTGCGCATGTGGCGATACCCTGTGAAAGGAAAAATGCAATCTGGGTGGGGTTTTCTGTCTGTTTTACTGAGATATTGTTAGACGTACAACATAAGTTTAAGGTGTATAATGTTATAATTCGATACATGTATTTATTGTGAAATAATTACCACAGTAAGGTTAAACTTCCAACCTCTCACATAATTACTATTATTTTGGTATGGTCATAACATTTAAAACATCTTAACAACTTTCAAGTATATAATACATTGTTAATTATAGAAACCATGCTGTATATTAGATCCCCAAACTTATTCATCATATAGCTGGAAGTTCTACCCTTTGATCAACATCTCACCATTTTTCCCACCCCAGCCCTTGGCAACCACC